CAGCCTTCTCCACACCAGCCCTACCACAGTTCCAGACTCCAGACCCAACAGACAAAAAATTCCTGTTGTTTAGGCCACCCAGCTTGTAGCACCTTGTTATGGCACCTGGCCAATTAACACAAGGTGAGATCAGGCAGCAAGAAGAGTCTCTGTTTCAAAAGGTCTGACAAGACCTGGAAAGTATGCAGCCCGACAACAACCTACCCAAGTTCTCTCCAGGTCTTTACCAGTATCTCCCATCTCCACCCAAGGGGGTCAGCCATCTCTCATACATTTTTAAGTCATGTCTCTGCAAAAAGAGGTTAGAGCTTGAGACTGGCCAAGGCTAGTATGTCTACAGAGAGACCACGATTTTAAATAGTCCTTGTGTGTGTGTGTGTGTGTGTGTGTGTGTGTGTGTGTGTGTGTGTGGTGACTCAGGAATCTTTAAGAACTTTTAATAAATGACTAAAAACTTCTTGGGAAAAAAAATTACCTTGGCAGCAACATCAGTTTTCGACCTTCATGAGAAGTATAAATCTCAACAGGCAACAAATTGAGATCCTGACTGAGCAGGATGTGTCTGGTTCCTCAAGATTCAGGGGGTGTGGGCACTTCCTCGGCTTAAGGCTGCTACATCACGGCAGAACATCAATTTTGTCTTTTCTGAATGCAGTCATATTACTGGGGATGCTCTGATTTTCTCCACGCTATTTGCCACTTCCTTATCATAATGGAACACATAGCTGGGAATAAGTCTTTCATCAAAGCAAACACACACCCACAAAGTAAACTCCCTCAATCACACTGGAATGGCACTTCTCAAGGTTTGTTACAAAGATCTTTCAATCCCATTTCCCATCTCTCAAACGTCCAGCCATTCCACTCTGACAGTAAAAATTGTCATTTGCAAGGAAATTCCAAAAGGCAGAGTGTTTTACTTGCAAAGGGAAAGCCCCACCTTTCTGGCCTCACTTCTCATGATGACAGCAGAGTTTTCCACATGGGAATACATGCTATCTGCAGCAAATATTTAAAGTGGTAAAGGAGCCACAGGAAACGAGAAGATAAAAGACATAAAGTATACAGTCAGAAAGGGTAGAAATAATGAAGATTTGGACTTGACTTATTTCAAAAGCATGAACATCAGCCTCGGCGTCTGGAAAATAGGATGACACTTCAGGGTGTTCATGCTAAAACTCTCATAGCCATACCTTAAACTGAGGCACTGTCCTGAATTCACCAAGTCTTACTATTTTACACTGTCAAGGACAAATTTTGAGATTCCACATGCTGAGTCTTTGCTCCCCCACCACCCCACCTTCATCCTTCCCACACATACCAATCCCTTGGGTTAAGCTCCACCTTCACAAACCCCCCAAATACTCCCATTGTCAACACTCAGAGCATTTATCCCCACACCTGGCTTTGTTTGTCGGGCACAGCTGAGCTCCTCTTAAAGGTCCACTTAGTATCCAAGTTCTATTTGTGTTTTGTCTAAGTATTTGAGGGACATGGTTACTTCTCCCCTTCTTAGGTTTATCAGCTTTTTGGGATGCAGGGGGAGGAGTGGTGAGACAAAATTACTGCATGGTCAAGGTTAGCCTTGAATTCCCAGTCCTCCTGACTTCAGTTCCCAGGTATTGGTCAGGGGAACCATACCCTTATTTTCAGACAACACTTTGTTTTCCTTTGGCGTGTTCCTTTCTAGTGTCTATCTCAACCGTAACGATGCCCCAAATCAAGTTATTAATGTAAACTAAAAAATGACACTGCGGTAGTTTAAATGTAAATAGTCCCCATAATCTCATAGGGAGTGGCACTATTAGGAGGTATGGCTTTGTTGGAGTGGGTATGACCTTGTAGGAGGAAGTGTGACACCGTGGGGGCGGGCTTTGAGGTTGCCTATGCTTAGGATACTTCCCAGTGTCTCAGTCGACTTCCTGTTACCTATAAGATGCAGAACTCTCAGCTACTCCCCTCTAGCACCATATCTGCCTGCACCCCCTACATGCTCCCAGGCCATGAGGAAAATGGACTGAACCTATGAAACTGTAAGTAATCAAGGCCCCTCAATTAGATGTTTTCCTTTATAAGAGTTGCCGTGGTCATGGTGTCTCTTCACAGCAACAGAAACCCTAACTAAGACAGGTATCTACTACAGAAGCACCTCTTTAGCCCCTATAGATTAACTGTGGGGTCCCAAATATATTTAGGGATCTGTCTAACCACAGCCCACAGCATCACACTGAATCCCCCATGACATTCGTATAAACATGCCCCAGTCAGGAAGTCAAGCTGAGGAGACTTCCAGAAAGCACACCCCAGCTGAAACTCTACCTACACTATGGTCCTGGGGTAGCAGAGTGACCCGAAGGCCACCCACAGGGAACTCCTTGCAGACACTTTCATCCTTTTTGCTTACTCCTGAGCTTTCTTCTTAATGGCCACAAAGTGACCTGGCTGAAATGTAATCACACCAGTGGGTCACCTGTCTTCTCTTTATGTAATCATGAACCTGATCTGCCATCCCTGGCCGCCTACCCCCAGAAACACAAAGAATTCTTTCTTCCCTTTCTTTTTTGCACAAAGACGAGCAGAAACATGGGCTGGCTGATGGCTCAGGACACTCAGGAGACACCACATACTTTAGTATAATGGCTGATGGCTCGGGACACTCATACCACGAGCTTCAGTGAAGATTATAGTTTGGCACTTTTCACTTTTTGGATGAAGACCTAAAATCAGAAGAGTGAGACAGTTGTCCAAGGCCATGAACCTCAATCCAAGTTCAAAGCTTCTCCTTAGATCACTGCCATTTCATAAACCTGAACCTCCATCAAAAGCTCCTGCCTTCAGAAAACCTGGAATTCCAACACCTGGCTGCAAAAACTGGTTCCACAACTTAGAGCTACAGGAATGGACAGAAATCACTGCATCTCTCTAGGCTTCAGCTCCTTAATCTAAAAAAAAAAAAAAAACTGCTTAATTATAAAACCTACCACACGAGCTTGGTGGCAGGAATTCTCATCAAGTGCCTAGTGGAATACGGAGTATCTGGTATAAGAATCTGTTACAATCAGGACCACCATACGGCAGGCTAACAAACTGGGGTCTGTCTACAAGGGGTTTTCTTTTTGTGTCTTTATTTCCTCCACTGATGGAGCTTGAGGAAACAATTTGGGATAAATCTGGAAAGCCCTGTAGATTGGGCTGGCTCCCTTCAAGCAATTTCCTTTGCTTTCATCCCCCAAGACTGCTCCTCGGACATTCCTTCTTAGCACTCACTGCCAAAATCAAGACCTTTCTGCTGCCAAATCTCAGAAGCCTTTACTAGTGTTATTGTGATTATTTTTCTTTAATTCATGGAAATGTTTCAATTTTCTTATTTGAAACTGAGATTCCAGCAACACCATCTCTATGGCCACCAGTTTAAAAATCTTTCAACCAGCAGCTTAGCACCCTCCTACACAGATTCAGAGACCACTCCCCTTACATGATGATGAGATCCTGCTACAATAATCTCAATGTGAAGAGATGGAGACAGTCCAAATTCTCTTGGAACAATTTCTCCCCATTGGCAGTCCTGGAAACTGACCGCAGGGCCTTATGAATGCTAGGGAAATGCTCTACCACTGAGTTATATTTCCACCCCCAAATTCCCTTATTTGGTAAATTATAGACCAGTATCTCCAGAACTGGGCAAGGCTGTGTACTTACTACTTGCTTTTCCTCTTTGACTAAGCCAAAGGTGATATGCAGGCCTGGTACCACTGGCCAGTGGGTGAGCAGGGTAGAGTTTCCTTAGGGGAGGGGCATCTGAGGAAGTGACATGAACTGGAGCTCTCTGGGGCAAATGGTTGAGCTACCTGATCTTGTCCAAGCCACTTCACATTCTCTGAGTAGCAGCAGTAGTATTCACCTTAGCAATGAAGTGAACTTTTCCCTAAGATTTCATGTTACTTTTTAATTTTTTTTTTATGAGATGGTACTTTATAGTCATCCCCAAAGCATCTTGTCTGGCCTCTTATCAGAGCAGTAAGTACATAGCGACATGTCACAATGTAGTCTAAGAGATAAGTAGGTACACACACGCATGTATGGAACTAGCCATACCAACACAGTCTCATTTACCACAAACAGGGAACTGTGCCAACCTGCCCAAATAAAATTCATGGCAAAGCACAGAAGTCCAGACTCACCTTTAACTATACAATTTAAACAGTAATAGAATAAGTGTATTTTGAAGGTCACTTTATCTGGGCTTCCTCCTACTGCTCTTCCATAAATTTCTCTCATGTAACAGTTTTGCTAGAAGCTTTTGGAATGCAGCTTGTTGCAAGACTCAGATCCCAGCACAGTTTAGGAGGCAGAAATTTGTGAAAAAAACACTATGCAATCCCTGGCCATTTTCTCTGATGGGAGAGTTCTGACCTATATCCAGTTCTTCCAATCCAGAGTCTTCCATGATAGACATCAAGTAAGAGAGAACCCCAGGAATTTGGGGTGTGTGAAGCAACAGTGAACAACAAATACTGAATTCAAGTTTCCTAAAGACCAAGAAGAACAATGTTGATAATATAATTCCTTAATCACCCCTATTCTGGCCAAGTATGGGGAGTGAACACATGTAAGGCAGGAGGACTGCCATGAGTTCAAGGCCAGCCATTTGTACAAAGTAAGATTCTTTCTCAAAAAAGAAAAAGTAATTATTAATAAATATAAATTAAAATTATTAAAATGACATTGTAAATCAGAATCCTGGCAGGTTTTACTGATTCTTTGACTGTTCCTTTCTCTACATGACACAGACCTGAAGAGTTTCTTACAAGCTGTTCTGAAAGCAATATACACAAATAGCAAACCTAAAGTGCGCTCATTCACAGGCATCAGGTTGAGCTGGTGCCTTCAGGAATCTGTAGTTTATTAACTCAGAGCCTTATCAGGGCAGGAGCAGGGCTATCTCTGTAGGCCTGTGGAGCATGGTGGAGCGGCCAGACCATGAGTCACAGTGTACTTACATCACTCTTTCTAAACTTCGCTTTCAGGCTCTTCATGTTTAGTCCATTCAGCTTTCCAAAGCCCCAGGAGATTTGTCAACACCTAAGCAGAGGGAAAAAAATAATGAATGAATGTAGATTGCCAAATAAACATTCCAGATTTCCTTCCCTGATTGGATTACAACACTGGACATGAGGAGGAGGCAGGGGTGGGTTGAGATGACTGTCGGTGAGCAGCTGAAGTGTGCAGTGAAGACGTAAGCTCTCCCACTCATGATACACACCCTCCCTCCGACCAACCTTCTGACATGTACAAATCACAAGAAAAGAAAGCTTTTATCCTCCTCATTTATTTTAACTGACATATAAGAACTACATATACTTACAACAGAAAGAGTGGTATTTAGAGACATGTATACATTGTAGAATAGCAAATGAGCCAACCAACTCTTACATTACTTCACACATTTCTTGCTGCATTATGATGAGAATCTTTAAGCCCTAGCAAGTTCACAGACCAGAATTTACAGGAGTCACCAGGCTATACAACAGAGGTCTGGAGTCCATTCCTCTTGTCAAATAGAAACGTATCTTCTGATAAGCATTTACTCAATCAATCCCCTGTCTTCTCATCGTCAATCTGTGGCAATGACCTCTCTAGTCTCTGCTTAGGTGACTTAAACTTTTGGGTTCCATACATAAGTTACCAAGCATTAAAAGTAGAATATGTGTGAGTCACACCTTAACTATCTGCACAGCTGTGACTGGGGTGTGGCTCGCCCTAGGGATTCTGGTATTGGAAGCTTGGTGATATGGAAGGGCAATGGAATGAGGAAGAGGTAAGGCCTGGTGGGAGGTCTTTAGGTCTTTGGGAGAGTGTTCTCTTCAGAGAGCACTGATCTCATGGGGTGAGAGTAAACTGACCCTTAGATCTCCTCCTTTCCAGCAATATGAGCTTTGACTTTTACAGGCCTTCCCAAACACTGTCCTTTGCTACAGGCCTTGTCTAATGAAACATGCCTTTGAATCTCCACAACTGTGAACTAATAATCTTTCTGTCCCGACAGTGTCACCCAGCCATGGGTATTTCATCATAGTAATAAAAAGCAAACTAATGCCTGACTACTGAAGTGATCTCTTTATATAGCCTTCATTTTGCAATTATACAATTTACCTCCTTTTGAAGTCAGGAATAATAGAAGATGATAGGAAAACCAGCTCCTATTGCACAAGCTGTTCATTCCCTACTTATTTTTCCAGTGTTTGCCTCCCTTCCCCGCTCCTCTTAAATGCACAGTGAGGTTGGTACAAAATGCCAGGAACAACAAAATCTCTCTCGTAAATACCTCATTCCTCAGGGGGCCCACTCTAAACAAAGCTAAGACTCCAGGTCCTTTTTCCTCTTTGAGACCCAGCAACTCTTAGTTCCTGCTGGAAGTCTTCAGCAATTACCACACTTAGGAGACAACACCTCTGTCCCCTACAAATTGGATACAAGGTTTTGGGGGTTAAATATATATATATATATATATATATATATATCACACACACACACAGAGAGAGATATTAAGATGCTTATCTGCAATCATGAAGCATGCTTTTCTTACCACACTATAAAGCTTCACAATCAAAACCAAAAATCCAAAGCCTGTGTTAAAATGCAGTGCACAATTTATCATTTTCATTAACCTAAACTGTGTGTGGTGTGATGTGGTGTGGTGTGTGTGTGTGTGTGTGTGTGTGTGTGTGTGTGTGTGTGTGTGCTCGTGTGCACGTGCACTTAGATCAGAAAGGCAAAATAATCCATGTGAAAGTTCCCACCATAGTAAGTACACAATAAATGCCAGTTTCAGACTCCACTGACACAGTAATGGGTGAGCCGCCAATTAGCAGCACCACTACAGCTGAGAGCTATAGAATAGTGGGTAAATGTTTAACACTCCTAGCTATTATTTTTTTTAAGTCTTTCAAACCCACCTTGTGTTCTGCCACATTCTTATTTGAAATAAACACGATTTATGAGTTGGGTACAGACAAGGAAGTGAATAACTCGACTCATCTCTTTTCTGATGATCTTATGGCGGCCTCCAAAAGTCCCCATACCTACATGCTACCCTCTGATGTGTTTGCCACCAACACTGCTGCTATCAAGCAGAGTCCTTGGATGAAGGGTATAAAAACAAGGTCATCATAAAGTATTTGGGTGGCATTTATCTGGGGGGTCTCATGCCACTGAGCAAGACCTTTCATGGGCCTTTCAATCTTCCCACCCTCTATAGAGGTGACAGAATGCATGCTACCTTCGAAAGTACATGGACTGAAATTACACACTGTTAATTGCTGAGGGCTTAATCACAGAGTACCCGGAATAGGCACACATCGAACAAGTGACATACTCGTCAAAGTGGACCTCATCGATAAGCCAAAACTGAGCTGATTTTTTTTTCTCCATGAGAAAACAAACCAATTTTTGATGAAATGTTTGCAAAAGAGAAATAATGGTAACCAAATACTACCAAATTGTCACTGGCCTAGGGCCTCTGGACCAACTATTTCTAAACAATGGACACCATCCTTCAAATTCAATTCCTCCCACTGTCTCAAAATAACCAAGGAAGGAGAGGAAATCAATGCAATGGAGAGGGAGAAAAGAGAAGCCACAGCTGGGAAAACCCACAAATCGTGTGGCCCACCAAGGCAGAACTGCCCAGCATTCTCTCATTCACAGAACAAAAGGTCTCAGATAACAGTGGGTAAGACTTATTTTGTTTGAGGTCATAGGGGTTATAAGGGTGGTGTGTGTGTGTGTGTGTGTGTGTGTGTGTGTGTGTGTGTGTGTGTGTGTGTGTTTACCTTTGGCTTTCTTCCCTTTTTTTGCTTTTCTTAAAGCAGTATGTGGACTGCTATTTGGAAAAAATTAAAGTAACAAATTCCAAAAGTTCTCAAGGGAAGGTATGAACTACTAAATGAATGTTTTCCTGGAGCCCAGGATTGACTGTGTGATAGTTGGGTGGTCCCTGGGTATGGATCCGTGATGAGACAGACTGATGTTAAGGGGCAAGTGCTAGAAACAGATTAGTAACCCTAGAAACAAGCCCTTGGACTGGGCGTAATTAGAGGTATTAATCCTGGTATTTGTAAAAGGAGCTAACGCTGGAAGCCATGGCAAATGGGAAGTCACCTGACCCAAGGTTGCTGCCAAGTGGATCTAGGTTTCCTTTGGGGTGATAAAATGTTTTTAACATTTATTGTCATGATGTTGTACAATCTGTGAACATATTAAAAACGATCTGATTAGGCATCAAGGCATGCCTGAATGTTACAGATATCTCAACAAGGCTGTTATTAACAACAAAACAAAAATCTTCATTTCATCTCTAAGACTTAGAATCAGGAAAATTCTAAGTTAGAACCCTCAGAGTGGTTCCAAAGGAACTTCAAAAGAAAAAATGTCAACAAGTAAAAGATGATTATACCCAAGAGATTATTTAGCTATTTCTCTATTATACCTCATCACTGATTTAAAGTACAGTTAAACTCACCCTACCTCCCAATGTGGCCCAGGGACCATACTCCCCCACCCCCAACCCCTCAGATCCTCCAGACTCTAGGATACCCACCTACAGTTTACCCTCTCAATGTAAAAGAATCTGGACACTGAACAAATGGTTAAGATGAGTATTTCTGAGCAACACCTATGTTTGAATTTTCACACCATAGAGCAAGGGAGCTGGGAGCAGGATGTGGGAGGAGGACCCCTAAACCCAATTCTGTGTGAGCAATTGGCCATGCGTGACCAATAGGAATAATATCAATTCATAAAAGCAGACAGTGGCTATACACCACATACTTCGTGTCTGAATCACAAGAATATATTAGCACCTGACAGATCACACCACGTGGCCCGAATCCTCTGAATTACCACAGAATTAGGAGAGCAAGGTCCTCTAGCTAATCCTTGCGTCCTAGAATTTGTAAATTACTGCATGGAATCCTCAGGGACAGCACGGCACTAATGTGTACCTTGACAAGTGTTGAGATTTTCTGCTTCCGAGTTGAAAAGAACATTATACTTAAAACCCAAATCTACAAAAAGGTATCAAGTAGAAGGAACCCAAATACTTGTTTTCTTGAACAATAATCTCTCAGCAGCGAAGATGGATTCTTACCAAGAGCTGCACAAGCATGTGCTTCTCTCAGTGTGGCAGAACAAAATCGTTCTCCAAAAGGCCTCTCCAGGTCAACTACAACTATTCCAGGAAGATGGCCCTGGCCCTCATAACCATCTCTCCAACTCCGTGGAAGCTGCTCTAACTTGGCCTGTTAGCTGGGGCTTCCCTGGGAGTTACACCTCTGCTTCTGAAACAAGGAAAATAAATTGGGGTTCAGGATCCAGTGAATACGCCCCATATCCCGTTCAATTTTCTACAGCAGACTGGGCTAGTGTACAACGCTGAATTTTAAAGACATTTGGACACGCAGGTAATGGAAAGAAAACTCACAACTGATGCAAGGTACGAGTAAAGAAGGATTTTGGAAAAGACTCTTAAACTTAGGTGTTAACTGCTGCAAACTCACTGGAAATCCTTGGAAGCAACACCAAAAAGTAGAGAATCTTTATAAACGGGGCAGGATTCCAACCGGCCTGAAGCACAGGATTTAGGCTGGGTGATGAGGGACATGGTGTCCCTTCTAGCCTGGGAGCTAGCCCAGTCTAACTCCCCTTTAACCTGTGCAACCTCCCTAAGCAACAGTCTCTAGTGTCTCTCATGATGCTGAGTACACCCACCAGGAATTACTGCAGAGTTCTCTCCTAGGCCTCCCCATGGCACAACAGAGATTTCAGGAGCCCTGTTACCATATCCCAGAAAATTTGAAAATTTCCATGCCAGGCTGCCCACTAACTTTGGAATAGAGGGGCTTTTTTTTTTCAGAGTAGAATTTTCATTTTGCTTACATATCTGGGGGTCCCTGACCACCATCAATCAATGTGAATGATCATATAGGGCAAAGATACAAATTAGGAGCCTGTGTAGGCTCCCCTTTAACCTCAGCAGAATTCTCTTTGCTCTCCAGCACTGGGACTTGTGTGAAGGTCACATA